TACACAAAGCAATCTCACTGAAGCATGCTAATTGAAGCATTAACTGCTAGGAATTATACATGTGGTCACGGCATTAGAAAAGTCGGCCACTGCAGTAACCCTTGTCTGAACACAAGAAAACATCAATAAAATTGCCAGAAACAGAACTAAAGCTCTGCCACAACTTTCACCTACCCACACTAGGGGCACTTAGATCTGATAGCTTTCCAAAGTAGTGTTGAAGTCTTGGACATAGCTTGCTAGTTTGCCAAGGTTTATTTTTCAGTGCAGACATTCCACACTGTCACAGCAACAGGTTTTAAAACCGTATTTAAAGAACATTTCTTAATGGCTAAAAAAAATCTGATTATCAACTCAGATAAATCTCTTTGCATTTAATATACATAAGCAGCCAAAAAAGGACTTGACATCACAAATATATAGAGCACAGAACTGAAATATTTACAGAATATCTGCAAAATATTTACCTTTGTGAAATGAAAATAGCAGCAAATAAAAATCTAACTTTAAAAGAGCTTCAGCCAAAATGCTGTATTACTAATTTGGAAAAAGCCAAAAGGGTTTGAAGCTGGTAAGAGGACAACAGGAAGAGGCAGAGAGGAGCAACAGTAACTCAGACTGAACAGTTACGTTCCATCCTATGTTTGCTGAACACTGGCTGTAAAGGAATTGACACTTAAAAAGTAGTGAAATGTTAGCGTATGTTTCTAATTTCCTGCTGTTTGAAAATTATGGAAAAACATAAAATTTCCAGTTAGTAGTTAAATACAATTTCTATTTCTTGTCTTAATGGAATAAATTATCAGTTAAAAACATGAAAATGTGTTTATCGATTGCACAGTTTGTTTCAATGAGAAAAATTCTCATATCATTAAGAGAACGATGTCCCTGAAATTAACTGCAAGTGCTTCAATAAATCTAGCAACCATCTTGTATGGTTTCCCTTATCCAAATATAAAAATAATCCTGGACATGCTTCACACGTCATACTAGGCTTTCTCCTGAGCTGAGCAGTTGAGGATATAAAAATGGGAGGCGTGTTAGCCTTTAGAGAAAGTTTATCACAACAGAGCACTGAGGTTAGACCAGTGATTATAAAGCTTGTTGGCCATAGAGGCCTGAATTTTTGCTATCATATAAGCTGATGGTACAGCTATTAAAAGGACAATGTTCACAGAAAATGATAAGGAACTGTCATTTAGTGGCTTCAAAAACTTCATCATGGTAATAACAATATGGTGAGGTCCCAGAAGGAATGGGTTCTAGGCTGAGAGAGATATGTAAGTGAGACTGGCAACAGTGGAGTAGGAAAACGAGCTATATTAAACTGGAAAAAAGTGCAGATATTGCTGCTAGTCCGACGTGTCGCCTGACTTCTGCGGAGAAGGCCAAAACAAGTATCCAGAGGCAGCATTACAAACACCTACGTCTGGGCAGAGCTTTCTGTAACGTGTAAGTTCTGGACAATGTCCTTACGGGCTCCAAGCACAGAACAGCAATGGTGACCCAATTTTGTTGATGTTGAGCCCACATTAAAATGCATCTAAATTCAAATTAATGACTTTTCGCCTGCGGCATAGTTTTCCCCATGTGAAATACTGCCTCCAGAATTTTTCACAATTAAAATGGTATTCTCCTTCCCATTTCGATATTACCCTTTAGAAAATAACTTCTTAAATAACCAAGAGGAAGGAGAGAGATTAGGATAGACAGAACTGAGAAAGTTCCTTATAGATGTTAAAGATTAATTGGTCTGAAGGACTATGGAAAAGTTAGCAAGGGAGTGAAGGAAAAGGGAGGCTCTTTGTGACTCTGTGATGGCCTCATTTTCTGTCACTAGGTATACTTAATGGTACTCCACTGAGGAAATGGGCAAGGACTTTATGTACTGAAATCCCTGCATCACCTCCAAGATATTTACAGAGTTATAGAAGCAGGTGGTTGAAGGCTTCCATCCAAAATAGTTTGCTTGTTTCTGAACTTGCATAGCTTCACCTTATTTTAATGAGTACAAAGAAAAGGCTTGTGAGCCTAAGGGAATGAAAAGCTTTATGAAACCTTGCAGACTTTTCAGTCCTCAATGGAAAGCCTTTTGTGGTGGGTTGACCCTGGCTGGATGCCAGGTCCTCACCAAAGCTGCTCTATCACTCCTCCTCAGCTGAACAGGGGTGAGAAAATATAACAAAAAGCTCACGGGTCAAGATAAGAACAAGGAGAGATCATTCACCAATTACCATCGTGGGAAAAACAGACTCAACTTGGAAAAACTAGTTTGATTTATTGCCAGTCAAATCAAAGTAGGATAATAAGAAATAAAACCAAACCATAAAACACCGCCCCCCCCTTCTTCCCAGGCTTAACTGTACTCCTTATTTTCTCTAACTCCTCCAGTGGCACAGGGGGATGGGGAATAGAGGTTACGGTCAGTTCACACCTTGTCTCTGCCACTCCTTCCTCCTGGACAGGGAGGACTCCTCACACTCTTCCCCTGTGCCAGCATGGCTTCCCTCCCAAGGGAGACACTCCTCCACGAACTCCAACATGAGTCCTTCCCATGGGTTACAGTTCTCCATGAACTGCTCCAGCGTGGGTCCCTTCCACAGGGTGCAGTCCTTCAGCAACAGACTGCTCTAGTGTGGGTCCACCATGGGGTCACAGCCTCCTTCAGGCATCCACCTGATCCAGCGTGGAGCCCTCCACAGGCTGCAGCAGGACAGGTTGCAAGGGAATCTCTGCTCCAGCATCTGGAGGACCTCTTCCCCCTCCTTCTTCACCGACCTTCACTGTCTGCAGAGTTTTCGCTCACATATTCTCACTCCTTTCTCTGGCTGCAGTTGTCATGCAGCAACTTTTTCCCCTTCTTAAATACGTTATCCCAGAGGCACTAACAACATTACTGATGGGCTCAGCCTTGGCCAGCAGCAGGTCTATCTTGGAGCTGGCTGGCATTGGCTCTATTGGACATAGGGGAAGCTTCCAGCAGCTTCTCACAGAAGCCAACCCTCTAGCCCCCCTGCTACAAAAACCTTGGCACACAAACCCAATACACTTCTAAAGGCTGCTCTGTAACCTCTCTGGATATCCCAGTCTCCAAGGCTTTGAAACTATACGCAGCTTAGTACAACTTCTTATGATACTCACAATCTCACTGATGTCCCCTTCTACAGACACTTCTCAGCAAATAGTGACACCTTACCCTGCTAGATACCAGGCTGGCAAACCAGGGCTTCATACCAGATATAGCTAATTCTGTGAAAGGACATAAATACTACTAATGACTCCTACCATGTTACCTTAACCTGTAAAAGATACACTTTGCACTTTTTTTACCTGCTCATTTGTAGCACTTTGATAACGTCCTACAAATGAGCAGGTAAAAAAAATACCATGCATGAAATTTAACATTTAACATACAATACACTAATGGTTCATGTCCAAGCAAAGGAGACACAGAAAATATGGTAATTTTAAAAAGGACCAGCTAGCACTGCTTCATCAATTACAGCTTTAAATATATCTGGTTCCAGATAGGATAGCTTGTTTGGGAAGATAAGTGATCCAGTGCTAAAGAACTTTTTTTTAGAAGTTATTTAGCACAGCGTTATGTTTCTTTTTAGTACTATTTTTTAATTATTGTCTGTCGGAAGTAAAGCATACATCAGGATACTGATTCAAACAGCTGTTATCTGCATGCCACTTCTATATACACAAGCTGTAAACAGCAGTTATATATAAATATGAAGTTACACAAAGAGGTTTATTTTCTACACCATCACCACGTGTTCTATAGTGTATGCCCTGGAAACAGTCTGTTTAATGAGGACTAATGCCTTTGAAAGCATTGTGAAATAACCCCTCATTTGCAATACCCACCTTGACTGGTCGATTCAGGTATAGCCAGGGGACGTTTAGACACATTGTTCAAGTACTACTTCTTAGAAAATCAATAAACTATGTTAATTTCTTCTGAATTGATCAGGTACCTGTATAAATGTTTGTACTGATGACACAAAACTTCTTTCTGCATAAAGCTACAAGTGTTATATAGAAAATTAGGTTTCTGATGAAAAGACAGGTAGAGATTTGATTTAGAAGGTTGGGGGGGGGGGGCGGCAGTGAAAGGAGAGAATGAGAAGGTAGGTGGAACAAAGGTTGAGAGAAAAGCAAAAAATGTCAAAATAGCAAAACCATTTCCTGGAACTCAGGAACTCCTTTTTCACTAGTCTGAATAAGAGACAAAGTCCAGACAAACTTGGCTGTAAAGAGGGCACGCTAAAAGCTTTAAGATATATAAAATATTAAAAGCATTGTCCTTGAAAATGTTATTTTTCTGTAAGATTAAATTCATTTTTATTACAACAGTTTTGATTTCATAAGCTTTTTTCTTTATCTCACTGCTCTAAGTTCAATTTAAATTAAATTTACCCTAACAAGTCATAACTGTCTATAATTTTCAGACATGTACAATATAAAGTATTTTGATTTGGTTTTTAATTTTTAATACAATAAAATCAAGATAAATACGTATGGCTTATTGAGATACACTGTACGCTGTTAACATTTTAGGATCAATTCTGAAGCTTTCATAAAAATATTGTAATTGTCTAATCATTGAACACTTATATGACCACAAAGATAGGTTTAGGAAGAAAAGTATTATTCTCAGTTTTATTTGAGAATTAAAAATCTACTGACAATGTGATTTTTCAGATTTTTGTAAAGCAGAAACCTAACATAATACATTTAAGAGGTACATAACTATTTTGCCAAACGGACTGTAAATGTCTTTATGGTAGTGCATATAACCTGAAGTTTTCTTAATATGAAACCATTCAATTCTGAAAAGATGATGAGAGATGACCACATTTGCCATAGATCCTGAGTACAAGACTTAATCAGGTACTAATTAAAAGAGATTCCACTGAGTTCTAAAGTGATAGTTAGGATCATTGCTCCAAAATCATACACTTTACACATGGTCTGTCAACAGCTCGACTTACATATTCACCGTAAGTCTCCTGCGCGGGAGGTGGTGGAAGGGGCCGGTAGCCTGCAGGTGGAGGTACTCCTCTTGCTCTGGGCGCTAGAAGTCCACGGCTGCGACTGACTGGTCCTCTACTGGGAGGCACTCCTCTGGGTGCTGGTGCCCCTCTCGGTACTCCTGCTGGTGGTGGAGGCACTCCTCCACGGCCCCTGTGAATATATGGATCACTTACCATTAAATACTACACCCCAGCCTCCCTTTCAACAGCTCCCTCCCCCACATCATGATAACCTTGCTTTGCTACCGCCAGAAAAAGTCTAAAAGAGATTTATAGTTTGCCATTTTTCTGTATGCTTTAATCCAATTACACACATTATGCAAAAAATGCTGAAAGATACAAACTAGACACGTGATTCAGTGATGAACTTCCCACTATCTTGAGCCATTCTCACATACACAGAGACACCCAAACCAATTTGCTGGAATCAGTCAACTTCACTAGAATTTGACTTATGTGAAATCACAACCATAGAATAACAGGTTAATTTGAAGCTGTCAGGCTATATCGTACTCAAACCCTGCACAGAGGTATCAGTTGCAACTCCCTTCTGTGTAAGCTTTTAAATGCAATCCAAAGACCACACTGCACGTAAGAGATTGAGTGGGTGAGAACAATTACATTTTCTTTTGGTTCTAAAGAACAGACTTCCAGCTGTTGCAGGAAACATTCACACATGTAATAAATCTGCAGGGTGATTATAGGATATAACCTGATGTTCTATATGTATTTAAGAACAAGAAATAACAGTAAATTTATTTTTATAGTTCTGAATGATGAGCATGAACTTGCATTCCATTATTTGGGACAATTAACATATGGATGAAAAATCTGAGACCTAAACCAAAACAGTTTACAAAAATATTTGATCCATTTAGAGATGGCGTTCTCCCCTTGCCTCCCTATAGTAAAGGGAGAGACTTAGAGGTACAGTCTGTGAGAAATTTGCATCATTTATTCTCTTTTAAACAGGACATCTAAAACCTTGCTAATAGCCATCTCCTTTTTAAAGGAGATCATTTCACCCCATGGATTATAACTGAGTTTAAGGGACTACTCTGTAGGCAGACTTGTCCTAAAGAAGTCACACCCTTATTGCATACTGCAACAAATACATAGAAAACAAACAAGCACAAGCTATACACTGCCTTTCTACCTATCAAGCCATTACATAATTAATCTCAAGAGTAGTGATTGAGTGAAAATACTGTCCTGATTTCAGTAGAAATTTCCAACTTCAACAATGTTATCAAGTAAGAACCAGACGTGGCCTTAAAATTTCCTACTCTATTTCAAATAGCTCATATAATTTCTCATCAGTAAGCTTATCAGAAAAAACATAATCATTTTATCACAAATAATTAGTATTTGAAAAACTGCATCACTAAACGAAGAATGCAAAAACATAAACACTTGAGACAATCAGGATAGATTTTATTAATTCTAATTACTGAACAAAACACAGTCACAAAGTATTTTAAACAAGCCTAGAGAGTAAGTGATTTAAAACTGTGCTTATTACTTGGTTTTGGCTAATCTGTAGAATGCCTCCTCAGGACAGGGTACCAGCTGCTTATTTGACTTCATTGTAGAGGGGGCAGGGGTGAGCAGTGAAGTTCCCAGACACAGCCTGCTGAAGTAATATAAAGAAATAGCAAATGTGATACTTTCCAAGTGAAGCCAAAGAAAGGGAAATGAACCTACTGGCATAGACAATAGTCAATACCAAGTAAAAAAAATGTCAGTAAAAAGACTTAAGAATCACTAGCCATAATCTCCATGGCATCCTTCAGACAGGGTTCAAGTGAAACCAGCAGGAAGTGGCATATACTGAAAAACATGGAAAAACATTTGAGGGAAGAAAAAAAAGAGTACAGTTTTTAGAGCCAGCATAGATTTATTTGTGAAGAGGAATTAGAACACCAGATCCACTTGATGAGAAGGTCTTTTCTGCATTTCAAAAACAGTTAACAGGATTGAAGTGGTGATGTGTAGAAAATCATATTTCTCCTATATTAGGAGACCATTTACATGCCTTTTTTTTTTAAGAGTTACTGTAGGAAGAATAAACAATCTGAGATGTATAGTTCTGTATTACACGACTCAGATGGTTACTGCACCAGACTGGAGGAGACTAGGAGGGTGCAGAAATAGAAAACCCAGTAATAGGAGAGTACAATTACCACCATGCAGATTTGAGTCATACCAGAGTATGATGCCAAGAGCAAGTTTTTAGAAACTGTAAATTGTTATTTCATTAAGAAGTTATCACGGAACTAAAGAAGTTTGATTGACATGAGCAATGAACAGAAACTGACCGAAAATACTAAGGAACCACTTTGAATAGGAACCTTTGCAAAAACAACAGATCAGTTCTGGTATTGCTTCATTTGAAAAAGGGCAGCTATATAAATTATGTTTAAAAATATTTGAGTAAAATGTATATACGCAGTATGAGAAGAGATTTAGAGAAATCCCATGGGAAGTCAGAGCAAATACACAACAATTGTTACAAAAGAAAAAACTTGAGAAAGGGCAAAAAGCTCAGTAAGGCTACAACAGCAGGGTAAGGAGAAGTATTAAAAGAGATATCACTTGAAGAGCTGAACCCATCTCTAACGTCAAAGGACATATGCTAATAAAACAAGTGTAAAACACCCAGAAAAGCAGGTCAGAGAATTTAAAGAATTTGTAAAAAGCCTAAAAAAAAAAGTCTTTCAAACATCCCGGAATCAGGAAACCTGCCGGAGTCTGAGGCCGAATCACCAGTGAAGAACAGTAAGAAGATGTGTATATGTATGCATATATTCATTCAGGTTTTTGCCACGCAATCGAGAAAGACTAGACAAGGTTCTTATGCCAAAAAAAGGGAATGCATTGGATGGTGCTGCCAACTGACTTAGAGACAAATTACAGAACAAAACGAGCAATTAAAGGTACTTACACTATCCTTCTATAAACTACAACAGGAGTTCAGATGACTATCTCTTTAATCTGTATCTGAATCCCAACCTGAATGTTAAGGGAAGTAAAAAAAATTCAAAGCAGCCAACTATAAGAGGGAACACTTGAGACTTAATATATGCACACATACATAAATTTATATATCCTAACATTACACAAAGTAATAAGTTCTGAGCTATCACTACCCACAGAACATTTATAATTAAGATTGGCCTAGTGGTCAGGACAGTAAAAAACAAATCAAGGTTTAGAAAATATAAGAGAATACAGAAAACTTTGTTACCCTACTGTGTGTACTTACAGTCCTGTTTCCTAATTTGGAAAGAACATGAAAAGAACTTGAAGTGCATCAGAAACTCTGTCAAAGAGGACCAACAGTACAGAACAGCTTACATATAAAGAATAATTAAGCAGATTAATGCACTTCACACTACAAATGACAACTGAGGCTTCTATGATAGAACCCAATAGAAACATCAAGGGAATGGAGAAGGTGCATAAAGAATTATTCATCAGTCATTCTCAATCTAAAAATCAGGGGACATCAGCTGGGAGAGATGGAATATTAAGCCCAACTGCCTTAATGTCTGAGCCACTATGAATGCTCCTATGAAATGCAGTCACTGAATGACAACGTGGTTGAGGTTGGAAGGGACCTCTGGAGGTCATCTGGTCCAATCCCCCTGCTCAGACAGGGTCACCTCGAGCAAGTTGCTCAGGACCATGAACAGATGGTTTTTGCATGTCTCCAAGGAGGGAGACTCCACAGTCTCCCTGGAAAACCTGTGCCAGTGCTCAGTCACCCTCATAGTAAAAAAGTGCTTCCTGATATTATGAGAGGATCCTGTGTTTCAGTTTGTGCCCGTTGCCTCTCATGCTCTCACCGGGCATCACTGAAAAAAAAGCCTTCTCTAGTCTGAAACAGTCCCAGCTCTCTCAACCCTTCCTCATAGCAGAGATGCTCCAGACCTTTCAGCATCTTTGTGGCCCTTCATCAAACTCTACCCAGTATGCTCATGTCCCTCTTGTACCTGGGCACCCAGAACTGGACACTGCACTCCACGTCCACTCCCGCACCAAATAAAAGGGAAAAATCACATCCCTTGGCTTGGGAGCAATACTAACACAGCTCAGGATACCATTAGCCACCTTTGTAGCAAAGGAAAATGAGACAGCAATGCATAACTTGGTGTCCACCCAGATCCATTTCTGCCAAGCTGTTTTCCAGCTGGATGGCCTCCAGCATATATCTGGTGCATGGGGTTATTCTTCCCCAGGTGCAGGACTTTGTACTTCTCCTTGTTGAGCTTCATGAGGTTCCTGTGAGGCCATCTTTCCAGCTGGTTGAGCTCCCTCTGGATGGCAGCACAAGCCTCTGGCATATCACCCACTACTCCCAGTTCAGCATCACCTGCAAACATGCTGATAGTACCCTCTGTCCTATCATCCAGATCATTAATGAAGTTAAAGAGAACTGGACCCAGTATTGACCACAGGGGTATACTGCTTGTTACTAGCCTCCAGTTGGACTCTGAATCACAGATCACTCTCTAGGCACATCTATTCAGCCAAATTTCAATCCACCTATCTCCTCATCCAGCCCACACATCACCAATTTCTCTACAAGGATATTATGGGAAACAGCCTTCCTGAAGTCACTGCAGATAATATCCACTGCTCTCCTTATCTACCAGGCCAGTCACTTCATCACAGAATGCTATCATGCTGATCAAGCATGGCTTCCCCTTTGTGAATCCATGTTTACTATTCCTGATGACCTTGTCATATATGTGCCTGGAAATGGTTTCCAGGATTAGTTGCTCCATCACCTTCCCAGGCATTGAAGTGAGGCTGACCAGTTCACCAGGTCTTCCTTGCCATTTTTGAAGGTAGGAGTGACATTTACTTTCCTAGAGTCCTCGGACACCTCTCCTAATCTCCACAATTGTTCACAGACTGAGAGTGGCTCCACAATAACATCTGCCATCTCCCTGAGCACAGTGGGTGCATCCCAGAGCCCACAGACTTGCATCTGTTTTGCTTAGCTGTTTTCTAACCTGATCCTCTTCCACCAAGGGTAGGCTTTCCCCCTCATCTTTGGGTCTTTGGATTTCAGAAAGCCACTCTTGCTAGTAAAGGCTGAGCCCAGAAAGCTATTAGGTACCTTAGTCTTTTCCATGCCCTGTG